CGCTGTTGAAACTGATCAGTTTCAGCAGCGGCTGACGCCAGTTCCGACTTACATACAGATTCAACTTAAGAAGAAACCTACAGTCCCTATCTTGTACGTAACCCGGGGACTGCCTGTAGCTTTTTTTAAATCTTGAGTGAAAATATCGAGGCAGTCTGTGCTCGTTACATACAAATTTATTTACTTTTATGTAGGATGTTTATCTAATACCGTTTTCTGTGCAAGAGACTCACGTCTTTGGTTGCCTTTGTTGTTACTGTTGCAGGTACATAAAGACCTCTGGCAATGCCACTGTTGATCACTTGTCTAAGTACCTAGCTGTGAGGTTGGCTTTGGAGGAACTTCGAAGCAAAGGAGAGTCAAACCAGATGAATCTTGACACAGCCAGTGAGAAGCAGTACACAATTTACATTGCTACGGCCAATGGCCAGTACACTGTGAGTAGTTGATCTGGTTGATACCCTGTCTAATTTAGAAAGTTGAGACCCATCAATGCTACAACATGAAGGCACAATGGATTTGTTATCCTATTGTGATTGGTTTGGCTTCTTTCTATAAATTGATCTGTGGATTGTATTCATAATCCATTTTTAAAAAGCACAGCACCAGTACAGCCTATTGTGAGGACGTAAGCAACAGGCTGTTCTGTGGCCAGTGCATACAACAAAAGCATCAATAGTAGAAAAGGAGTGGCATGTAAATGTGGGGATGCTCTGGGTAGACATGCCCTGAGGTAGAGTAAATGGTCTGGCTCCATTGATGTCTCTGGGATTTTATCAATTTATGCCAGCTGAGAATCTGTCTCTTTATTTCACATGTAGAAAGTAGGAGGAAATAAGTGGTGCTTAGATTTGAGGAATTTCCTATTGAGAATGTCCCAGGGTGGATAGCACTTCCCAGGCAAATTCAGATACCAATAGGGGCACATCTATTGGTATCACGTCAATTTGCACAATAGTTGTAGATCAGACAGGCAAATATTAAATGAGCCCAATCCTCAGAAACTCAGTCAATAAGGTTGGACAATAGTTTTTTAGCTGAAGAGTTACTCACCTTTAAGAGATGGTATCACTAGATAGTTTAGATTCCTGCCAGTCTTACTAATTCAAGAAAGATTTAGAAGGGAAGGAGGGAAGCCCATGGGTTGGATGTGGCTGGTGGTTTGCTTTGATCTGGCCTGTGAGGCTCAGGGCCCCACTACCCCTATTGGAATGACCCAAGTTCACCTCCCCCAAGTCCTTTCATGCAGGTTCTTCCACAGGAAGAGGCAGCCTGGTTCATTGCATTTTAGCTGTCTATAAAGTCAGACTGTTGGCAGGGAAACAGGCCTGGTCTCGGGTCTTGGTACATACATTTAAAGGTGTGGTTTTTTGGTTTTTTTTTTTTTTTTGCTTGCAAGGTCATGCATAGCTGTTCCCTTCCCTACTTAGTCACCTCAGTTGCTCTGCACAACATGCAGGTTCCCCCATGTCCATGATGCCAATCTCTATGTTGTTTGTCTGCTTCTCCCCTAAGCCCATAACTGTACATCCAAGAATTCATTATGTTAGTAAGAGTTTGTGGAATGATCGTGATGATTCTTCTCATTACCTTTGTGCTTGACTCCCCATGCCCCTGTCCTTAGCTATTTGATTTTCTTGGTAGCTTGCAATCTGTTTGGAGAAGAGCACGATTTCTTGTGTTTGGAAAGCAATTAGCACCTTGGTTTGTGCTACTGAGTGGGGAAATACTCTCTCCAAAAGCATAACAAATGAAAAGGTGATCTGTATTAAGATTTAATCTATATTATGAACTAGTGAGGGGGACTAGCATTAGAATCAAGTTGCTAGTCATTGAATTATAGATAAGCAACTAGAAACACTATTAAACTAGAAATAGATAAGCAACTAGAAACACTATTAAACTTATTTAATGACCGGCACCACAGGAAATATCTATTAACTGCAGCCAGAACCACAGGTGACTTTTGTTCTGTAAATGTTTTTCCCTTAGTAAACAGTAGGGATTTCACATTGACAGATGAGTCAGAAGTTCATAGCAAGATGATGGAAAATATATTTTCAGTACTATTGGTGTTTCTTCTCCTTTAGGTATTAAATGGTTCCTTTTCCTTGGAGCTGGTCAGTGAAAAGTACTGGAAAGTGAACAAACCCATGGAACTCTACTATGCACCAACAAAGGAACATAAATAGGCTTTGCAAGAAGGTTTGGAGTGAGGACTCCAACTAACTTTTATAGCTATGATTTAATATTAAGAAGGCACCACCATCATCTTCAATGGACAGAACTTGGAATGTCTTCAGACTACTCAGAGCGTATTTCTTCTTATAATTAGACAGTATTCTAGGTTTTATCTTTAATTTATTTTTTTTTCAAGGGGACGGAATAACCTTCTCCAGTGCATTCCATTGTAGTCATCAAAGAGATGCTTTTTTGTTCCCAGCTTGAGATCAGATCAAGCAAAGGTTCCAGCGTGGAATGAAACATACTCCAGGAAAAGCTGTTGGTCTGCTAATATACCTGATACAATTACACCAGCCCTTTGATGAGAGTTTAAAGTAGTCTAATCAATAGTAGCACATGTTGTGAGGTATGTTAATGATGGTGATTTGCTAACTACTATCATTATAAAAGATGTTTGAAGAATTCAATTCTGATAACAGCATGCGGTTTGGGTTCCAAGGTATTTACACTAGTAATCTGGTCCCCTGGGAGAATTGGATTATTGGTGGTAATCAAGGTACTGCTATAGCTTTCAGTAGACCAAGATACTGAAGGCTTAGAGGAAAAAGTTCTGACACTTTTTAAAAAATCTTGCTACCTGCTGGATTTCATTCATTTCAGTATCAGAATCAATTATGTTTAAATTTTTTTTCCTGGGCAGACTGTCACAGTCCCTGTGCACTCTAATTTCTTATCTTTCACTCCTGTTGCAGAATTATCATGTCCTTGGTATGGCAGATAACATTTATTATACAAAATTTTCTCTGATCCTAGCACATCCAATGTTAACATTTATTATACAAAATTTTCTCTGATACATTGGATGTGCTAGGACTAAACATTTAATGGCAGATTTTGCTGTGGAAATATCAGACTTTACAGTAAAGGAGTCTTTCTTGGAAATATAATTTTGCAACAAAAAGTCCCCTTTAAACTCTAGTATGGTGGTACTGTTGCAGCAAGAGTATCTTACTTTATAAGTACTCTTTTCACATCAGTTGTGAGTTATAACTGGTTCATCGCTGATGGAAAGAACTGTTTCAGTTACAAACTGTTCTAACTATTCTGTTTTAGACAAAGCTTTAACAAATATGGCTTAGCACTTTGGAAGAAAATGTTAATACTTGACAGGTTTACCATTTAGTGTCTTATGGTAGGATTTTTTTTTAACTTGGCAGTTGGCTGCTGTGTGAAGTTTTGCATTTACCATTCATGTTAAACAGGTGGGTTTTTGTTTTGTTTTTGGTGTGAACCCTGCCTTCACCTAGTGGGTATGCTTTGCTGCAGCTAAAGAAAATACTCAATGTTAGGGAAGTGGCACAGTGATGTTCTCTTTGCTCTATGGTTTTATGTCTTGTATGTCTCTGTAGTTCAGAATTTGAAAATGAAAAGACCCTTAAAGCAGGTGAGGAATATGATACTTCCAATAATATGGTATTTCTTCTGCCTTTCTGCTCTTGCTTGTAGTTAAAATGGATGAGTTTCTAATGTTTGAAGTGTCTGAGATTTGTACACTTCAAATCCTTAGATTTCTGTTGGAATGGAGCAAGACTTCCATTACTCCTTGGCATTCAAGCTTAACATTTGTAAATATGTATCTACTTGCTGTTTTGGGTCAATTTCATCTCTGAGAAATTCATAGGCTTGAATAACTTTTAATATTTCTTTTTGGTATCTAAAATGTTTTTACGGCTTTTTGTAATCTGTGCCATGAAACTGACATTTCCAGTTACCAAGCATATTGGAGGGCGAGGGTTTATTTTCAAATGTTGTTTTATTCAGTATTATTTGGTGTAATGTACAACTGTACAGAATACTAGTGCATGTCCACTAAATATATTCCTGTTTTTGTGATACTTAGATTTTATGGAGAAACTTCTAGGTTAGCTGCAGCAGAATGACAAATTCCTGGTGTGATATCTAAGAATGTTTAAGAAACAAAGGAGGTGTCTGTGAAGATGAGATGTGTCTGTCTAGAGAATGTCTTTTTGTCCGCAGTTTATAAAAGCATGAGAGAATGTGAAACTTTTTACTTTTATGTCATAGTGAATTTACTGAATATTTATGTTCTTTAAAAATATATATTATGTAGGTGTTTGATAATGCCATTGATTGCACTGTGACCTTTTAGTGCTATAAACAATTTACTTTTCAAAACAACTTTCATGTCACTTTCCTGTTGAGCTAGATCTTCATTTTTGGTACCTTGTGCTAGTTAGGTATGGTAAATTGAACAGTTATAATATCTGAAACTGAAGTCATACCTAACATCTCACATTTGTCAAAATAAAGCAAAAATACTGTGAACACAGTACTGGAAATTCATTCACTTCCTATTGCAGTCTACAAAAGAAACCATTTGCGCCATGAATCCACCTGTACAGCCAGCATTGTCTAACAACACTATCAGCTTTCTAGATGGAGGAGTGGAAGATGCATCTGCTCTCTGGATACATGTGCCAATGCCACACAATGGAATCTGGTGCCCCAGTTTTTCCCCACCCCAACTTACAAAGCTTGATTTAAAGCCCATTGAAATCAGTTGGAAAATTCCCATTTACTTCTATAGGTTTTGGATCGGGGCCTTAAAATGGGGTTTTCTTGTGTGGTAACACTAGCTAATATCCATTTTTTCAGTGGCTGCTATGATAAGTACAAATAGTTATTCTGGTGTGTGGGACACAGAATAATTGTCAGGCAAAGAGTGATATGAGAAGACAGTCGGTTTGGTGTGCTCTACTTGGGACAGCCAGCAAAATCCTTTTACGTGTGGTAATATACCTATGTGCTAATCATCCCAGCATCAATTCAGACAGAAGACTTCGAATATGTGGAGTAGCATTACATACTGCATGTGGTGGAACTCTTGTAAAATACTCAGCGTCAGTATCTGCTAAGTTTTACAACCTTAGCTATATGTGAGGATAAATGTATAGTGAGATGGGTAGTTTTATCCACTTTCCAGAAAAGTGGCATTTGATAAAGTCAAAGATGGAACTATACTGTGCACTCTGAACCTCAGCCCTTTATTTTTCATCCAGCAGTAGGGTTGTGTTATAATGAAGCCATGATTATACAGAATATATGGCGTCACCCTCTCCTTATCCTGTTGAAAAAATCCTCTGATTTTCTATATTCTGCCCATTGTTTAGGGTCAAGAAATGTATAGTAGGGCTCTTTTTATGAGAAGAAAGATGTCCAGTTTGTTGGATATAATGGTTTTCAGAGGCTTTGTACTTTCACCAGCCCTCCCAATATACATTCCATGTTATATGTACAGGTGGCTGTTTTAAAATGATCTATCTATCTAATCTATCAGTGGTGGGAAACCTGTAGCCAGTGGCCAACATGCAGCCTTGCGGGGTTATGTGTGTGGCCCACAAGACATTTTGTTGACCACTGCCCACATGCAGTGTTTCCAAATTCCACTGGTTTCTGTCCACAGAGTTGTTTTTTCCTTCTAGTATTAATAAATATTTTAGGATTGTTGGATTTTTTTTTAACTGAAAGTTTACAAATTTTGTTTTGCCAGTTTCTTTCTGTTTCTCAGTTTACCATATATAGTCAGGTTCCTCTGTTGGTGTGAAACTCTTCTATAGCATTAGAAATTAAAAACAAGTGGGGTCTGAAAACTCCAGTAAGGCTCATATTCAGTTTAAAGGACACTCAATTTGAAATCCTGTCATCTTAAAAAAAATTATAGCTAAGTAATTCCAGGTTCAATACTGCCTTAAAGACCCTATGTCAATTTTCATGGAATTTCCTTGTGGTGGTGTTTGTGTAAACTTTAGCATGAAGTAAGTGGATTCTATGTGAAAGATTTCTCTGGTGTCTATACTGCCACTAACTTTTCTCCAGCACCAATAAGCCATGCATGATTCTCTTTCTCTGTGTTCCCAAACCTATTAGACTAGTTCATGTACTTTATGCCACACCACTGGGGTTTATTTTGCAGATTTTTGGAAAAAAACTTTGCTTCTGTAAGTAAAACTGTCACATGACTAAAGTCCTACAACTTGGCAGGGCATGAAAGTGCTATGTATCCCAAATACCCCATTTTATAGAACGCTAAGGACATGATAGCGGTTCTATGACAGCATTGGAGTTGTTGCAGCTGTGGAAAAACCTGCATCTGATGGCATGTTTACACTAGATATGCTTTTCTAGCATAGGTATGCTGGTAGAAGCCTGTAGTGGAAGATGTAGCATAAGCTGACATGATAGGAAGAGTTCTACTGGTACAGCTAAGCCACCAGTCAAATGACATTCACAGTCTAGACTGTGAGGATCTATTGGAAAGAGATATGCAAAATGCGGAGCACAATTTGAGTATCTTTTTCCGATACTTTTGTTGGAAAAGGCTTTTCTGACTTTTGGCCCATCTAGACTGGGCCAAATTTTGGGAAAAAACCCTCTTTCGAAAGCCCCCTTCTTCCTCGTGGAATGAGGCATTCAGGGGCCCCCCCCCCCCAAAAAAAAGTGGAAGAGCAAATGCATTCCCTGGACATGGAGTTTTTTCAGGATCTCTCTGGTATCCCGAACCCCCCTCATCTCCCACGTAGTCTAACCGTACCCTTTGACACTAGACATGCTCTTCTGGCTGGAACCTTACATCTGGGGGGGTGGGATGTTCCTTTGTCTCACTGATGTTGGTTTTTAGGGGGTATGATTCCTCCCCAAGTCTCCCAGCTCTATGCTGCCAAAACTCTATGGACAAGGCCTGAACCTAAAACTCTTCCCCTTGCTGTATGGAAGATCCTGTCTTAAAAGCCATATAAGATCGGAACTAGTGCGAGACAGAAGCCTGGGCCAAAACTGCTAGAATTAACAGCTGGAAAAAACTCCACAACTGAAACTCTGATCTTGTGTCTGAAGTAATACCATGTGGGTCTCTGTATTTTTAAAAGGAAATGACTATTAAACCTAGAGATGGTTCCAATAGTGAAAATATTGGAAGATTTATGTAAAAATTTAATCAGACTTGTAAAAGGAAACTCACAAGCAGGTTGAATCAGATAGCTATAGATGACACATATTGACTTATTCATCAAATACTACCTGTGAAAGATGTAGGGCCCACAAGTTAAATCCTGGTGAATTAACTCTTTGCCACTCAGTCCTCTCTTGGTGATAGCTTGCAGGTAAGTATTATCTTCTGCAAAGTAGCTACTTATAAAATTCAAACAGTAAAAAGTTTTAATTTCATTCCCACTCCACTTGCCTTTAGATCTTGTATGTAACATTATTTGCTACATAAGGTATAAAATTATACCTATTTAAAATGTTCTGGCTTGCTTAAATTGAATACCTCATTTTATAGTACATTTTGGTGTCTTACAATTTTGACCTATTGCTAAATTCTAATCAGTCAAGCTCCAAGCCTGATGGCTCATTTAATAGATTGTGCACTAGCCACATTTACAGAGATGCTTAAGCCTTTTGGCCCCATTGCTTATCCACCGTACTGGAAACTGTACTAGCACTTTGATAAGGCTCTTTGAAAATCGGACAGTCACAAAATGCCAGTGTTTAAAAGAAAGACAAGAGCATAAAAGTCAATAACACTACAGTTTTCCCCCATTAATAGTAACTTGACCACATACACTGATCAATTACAAGTTCTTCTGGTGTAATTATGAAATGTTTCCCACACATTAAAACTATACTGGCAGCCCAAGCTTTCAAAGCCAGTTCTGTAGATTGGTTTACATGAGTAGGGCTTAGTTGTAACTCTCAAATTAACACACTATTTACATTCAGCAGCAGTGAAGTTATCATGATAGCTGTCTTTTGTGAACAAGAGTGTGGCTTCTGATTCACTAGCTTCTGTGAACTCCATGTCTCCTGCCTTGTCCTCGGCGGCAGCAGTGTGGATATTGTCTGCTGCCTGGGCATCTTCAGTGGACTGCACAGGGCCTTCTGCCTGCCCCCCAATGTAGGTGGGAGTGCTGTACTTCACAAGGATAGATTTAAACTGGGCCAAAGGTGCATTTGTGCGAACTCCCATGGGATCAAAATGGGTTCGGCTTACTCTATAGCCAGCTTGGGAGAGATACTGTAAGAACTTGTTTAACCTGAAAAATGTATAAAGAAAGTTATTACTGGTTGGTCTCAACACAAAATTACACATTGATTTTGTTGGCAGTCAAACGAACTTGATCCTTACTTTGGCATGTTCATTCCTTTGATGCTATGTCTATGGATATTATAGTAAAATGCAGGATGCTCAGCGTTGCTTTCAGACTTCTGTCTTTTTGCGATGTTTCTACTCATTTCATTACTTTTCCTTTTACCTGAAACATAGAAATGTTCATTAGGGCAAGATCCAAAATGTGGTTCCTCAAACTCTAACTGTTGCCACCTAAAAAATCCATTACTAAGTGTACACCTCAGTCTAGGCATCTGGGGGTCTAGGTCCAGTGAGATCCTCAAATCAGAGGTAGTGGTGCCAACTTACAACCTTTAACCAGATGTGTAAGACCTGGTTCAATTTCTCTCCCCTGTCCAAAACAAATAAGAGATTTGAACTCTGCTTGCCTGTGCTCAACTACACTAGGATATCTTTTGAGGTAGTTCTCTACCCTGTTGAAGCTGTTGCTGTGTATAGAATTAACATGCATTGGGGCAAGAAGGACCCATATGCCAGTCACCCTGCTCCAGTACATATTTATTTATATATAGTTGAACAGCTTCACCAGGAGAAATAGAAAGTGCAGTGTTTAAGGCACTATCCTGGGAGGAAGACTGAGTTGAAAACTTTCTTGATATCAGTGAGAGGAGAAACTCAAATGAGGTCTTCAATATGGTAGGCGAATGCTGTTAGCATTGGGGTAAACGATATACATTGGACCAGAGCCATAGTAGCACTTGATGCTGAAGCCACCCTGCACCTAGTCAGAGAAATATGCAGGGCTGGCTCTCACCATTCCTACACCCCAGGTAGCGGGCACACGGCACATGTGCAGCGCCTGATGGCAGCTCTAAGGGGCGCCACGTGGCCCCCAGCGCCTGATGGCAGCACCCCTTACAGCGGCTCTGGAAATGTGCATAAGGCTTCTATTGCTTTTTTTAAAGGCAGCATTCCTCACTTAGTGTGTCAGCTCTCTGGAGTTGTAGGGCTTATTCCTCAAACTGAGGATTAACAGAGAATTTTAAAGTTTTCTATAACTCACTCCCATAATAGCAAGGGACTACATAAGTGAACTAGACTTTCAAAGCTACATCGTGTACTTCATACAATATTTGACTTTGTCTTTCCCAACTATTATTATTTTGGGGAAAGATAGATTGTATCTGTGTTTAAAAAAAAAAAAAAAAAGCTTTCCTCCAGGACAACAGAGTGACATCATGCATCACTGCATCCCGCAGACCCTCCCTCTACCCTAAGCTATGTAGCCTCCCCTCTCGCCATGCTTGGCAGGAGCCACTAGCCATGGGGGCCTACCCCTACTGGGAGGTGGGGGTGGGGGTGGAGCAGGAGCCATGTAGCCTCTAACCAGGCTTGCCAATGCTTTGGCCTGGCCCAACCCTCCAGCGACCAGGGGAAGAGAGCCAGGTCTGCTGCAGCAAGCCCTGGGGCAATGTGGGCAGTAGCTGCATGGCTCCTGCTGTTCCAGGGAGAGGCCACGTGGCCTGCCTTTGTTCCTAAAGTGGGGCTGTGGGAATCAGCTGGGGGAGGGGCTATCCATCCCATGGTGCCTCAGGCTTGGGCAGGAGGCCAGGAAGCAGGGTGACCTGACTCTGCGTGTGGTAGCAGCCTCCATCTGACCACTAGGTGCCTGAGGTTTCAGCTGGGAGCCGCTTAAAGAAGAACAGGGATGTAAGGCTTCTCTCTCAGCGAGCTACGATTGGGCCCTGGGCAGAGATGCACCTCAGTTGGAAACCTGCAGAGGTGCCTGTGTTTCCCCTGCAAGCTCTCAGCTGCGGGTTGCTAATAGGTAAGGGGGGGGGTGGATTGGATCTCCTCCTGTGAACGGGACTCCCAGCCCAATCCCACAATGTATGGGGTAGGTCGGACTCCATCTCCTCCAAAAATGCTGTTGCTGGGTGCAGGGAGGGAACCAACTGCTTCCTTGCTTTGTGCTCAAGAGGCCACAGCTTAACCACTCCCACCCTTGCACCACATGGCCCAGTGGTTAACCCTCCCCCACATGCCGTGCCACCCCCTGAGGCATCACAAAGGGGCAACCCAGCAGTACTCAGAGCAGCTGACAACCCTCTGGTGCTGTTTCCTTGCTGGTTATTAACCAGTGAGCACTTTCAATTAAAAGGACCAAAAAAAAAAAAAAGGCTGGCACAATCACAAGCCAAGGTTCCGTAAGCCATTCCATCATCACACCAGCCCCTCCTTCACTGATTGTAGTTACCTTGTAGCACAAACCACCAGGGGTGTGGCATGCAATTGAGATGGATCAATCACATACCTTGTACCACATAGTAGTCAGCTGCAGTATCTGGTGTTTTAATAAAGACCCCACATTCTTCTAGAATACAAAAGTCAGAATTAAATCTGAAGTGTGCAAAAAAAAAAAAAGGTTTAAATAAATTTTATTTTACTGCCTTATGAAAGATTCCACAAAAATGTAAAAGGGGAAAACCCCAAACTTTCTGAACAAAAGATATGAAAACAATGAGAGGCAAAAGGATAAGTAATAGGCTATGGAAACTTTCACTAAACTTATCAATCTGAATCTGGCAATATTCAAGTTAAACTACTACTGTAGATGGTGACTTATTTCAAGTGAGATGGTAGCCACTAGCATAGTATTCCCCTTATACTATCCTAGTTAAGGATGTAAAATCCTGTATAATCAGTTAACCGCTTAAATGTTATGTTTCACCAGTTAAGTGCTTAAATGAGGATAGACAGGGCCTGCTCTGGTCAGACTGAAGTGCCCGTCCTGCCCATTGTGTACCATGGTATGCCCAGCTCCCCCACCATGAGGGGGTTGCCTCAGCCCAGCCACTGATTAACCATAACTGGTAACCATCAACTAATGCTGTTAAGTAATGGTTAATTTACTAGATGCAAATTCCATCGACTACTCGACTAGCCAATAGGCACTTCTGGATTCCTCCTTTGAAATGTACAAAAACCCCCACTGTGGCTCTTGTGTATTTCAAAGGAGGAATGTGAAAACCTGTGTGCAACCCAGGGCCAGCGGGAAGTACCGCTGACTCTGGGCTGCACGCAGTGTGCCAGCTTTGAAATGTACAAGAGTCCCCAGCAGGGGCTCTTGTGCATTTCAAATCGGAAGCGCAGCATAGAGCCTGGGGTCAGCGGGAGACAGAGTACACTGCTGACCCGGGGCTCCATGATGTGCTGCTGATCTGAAATGCCATGTGGAGCCAGCTCAGCTGTGTGGTGCTGTCCCTTTGAACTCCACCTTGGCGTTTCAAAACGGCAGCGCCACACAGCTGATCACATTTCTATTTCTGTGTGGTGCTGGCGCTTTGAGGTACCAATAGTCGACTAGTCCTTTACATCCCTAATATCAACCCAGTAAAAAGGGTGATGCTTACTGGTTAATAGGTTATCCATTCATATCACTAATTCTAGTATGAGCAAAATATCCCACTGCATAAGAAAGATAGGAATATACCAAGAGCCCACGCTGGCTTAACCAGAGCTTCAATGATCTTAAAATCAAGAGAGTCTTACAAAAGTAGTAACTAGGTCAAATTACAAAAGATGAATATAAACCAATAACACAAGTATGTAGGGACAAAATTAGGCTTGTTTACCTGAATGCAGCCTCCTATGCTTATAGTAATGTAATTACAAAGCTGTTCTAACACTCCCTGGAATTCACATTTACCAAGTAGGGACCTTCACTGACTTCTAAACTCGCTCTCTGCAAAAGCCATTCCTCAACTTGAGATTAGACGAAGGTTTCTAATCATTAGAGGAGTGAGGTTCTGGAACGTCCTTCCAAGGGAAGTAGTGGGGGCAAAAGATCTATCTGGTTTCAAGATTAAACTAGATGGGTTTATGAAGGGGATGGTTTGATGAGATAACATGATCTTGGTAACTAATTGACCATTCATTTCCAGTTGGAAATAGGTCAATGGAGGGATGATAGGAGTTACTATAGAGAACTTTCTGGGTGTCTGGCTGGTGAGTCTTGCCCACATGCTCAGGGTTTAGCTGATCGCCATATTTGGGGTCAGGAAGGAATTTTCCTCCAGGGTAGATTGGCAGAGGCCCTGGAGGTTTTTCGCCTTCCTCTGTAGCATGGGGTACAGATCACAGCTAGAGGATTCTCTGCATCTTGGGGTCTTCAAAGTATTTGAAGGCTTCAATATCTGAGATATAAGTGAGAGGATTATTCTGGGAGGGGTGGGTGAGATTCTGTGGCCTGCACTGTGCAGGGGGTCAGACTAGATGATCATAATGATCCCTTCTGACCTTAAAGTCTATGAGAAAGCTCAAGGCTCAATTCAACTAGCTAAAGATATAAAGGACTACAAGAAAACAGTCTACAGCTACCTTAGAAGAAAGAGGATGACCAAGGATGGTGTAGGACTGTTATTCAACATGTGTGGGAATGACAACAGAGAAAATGGAAATAGCAGAGGAGTTTTTTGTTTTGGTTTTCACCAAGAAGGTGATGGTGATTGGTTTCTAAGATAATGAATGCCAGGGGGTTAACAAACATGCGGACAAGGGGGATCCAGTAGATATAGTATACTTGGATTTTCAGAAAGCCTTTGACAAGGTCCATCACCAAAGGCTCTTGTGTAAATTACATGGCCATGGGATAAGAGGGAAGGTCCTTTCTTGGATTGAAAACTGGTTAAAAGACAGGAAACAAAGGGTAGGAATAAATGGTAAATTTTCAGATTGGAGAGGGGTAACTAGTGGTGTACCCCAAGGATCAGTCCTGGGACCAATCCTTTTCAACTTATTCATAAATGATCTGGAGAAAGGGGTAAGCAGTGAGGTAGTAAAGTTTGCAGATGATACAAAACTGTTTAGAATAGTCAAGACAGAAGCAGACTGTGAGGGACTCCAAGATCTCACCAAACTGAGTAG